TGAGGTGAGGGTGACCGGGCTGTTGTTTTCCGGATCGACTACCTTCCCTTTTTTAAAGATGGGCACTACATTAGCCTTTTTCCAGTCATCTGGGACCTCCCCCGATCGCCATGAGTTTTCAAAAATAATGGCTAATGGCTCTGCAATCTCACCCGCCAACTCCTTTAGCACCCTCGGATGCAGCGCATCCGGCCCCATGGACTTGTGCACGTCCAGTTTTTCTAAATAGTCCCGAACCACTTCTTTCTCCACAGAGGGTTGGTCACCTTCTCCCCATGCTGTACTGCCATGACTGTGTGCCGCCTGGCTCCGCGAGGCTTCTTGAGCTTGTGCTTCTCTCCCCCTTGAATATGCACTTGGACATTGCGATAATCCTGGGGCGTGGCTCTTTCTTGATTGTTGGTGGGGAGAAGTGGTGCTATGTCCCAAATGCCACCCACTTGTGGCACCATGATGAGACACCACTTACAGTAAATCGGCAGATCTGCAAGTTCTCTTTGCTTTTTTACATAAGCATCGATGTTTAAATGATCATTCAAAGGCCCACTGATGAACAACCCACTGAGATGAGTAGGACTGTTCAAAATCCTCAGAGCTGTTGTTTAAGGCTCTCTGCAGACTCTTCTCTGAATCAGTTACGACTTGTTTACATGGGAGATTTTTCTAGTTACATTGGTAATCATATCCGTAAAGTTAAACTACAGGCGTTATACAAGTATAACAACTCTTCATATTAGGCATACGAGTGGCTTTTTCACTTTATCTTATACTGCTTCCAAAATGATATAAGCTAAACCAGAAAAAGGCACTCTTATATTGCAATAAGAATGTCCACATGGAGGCCTGGACTATACTAGGTTGACATAAGTATGGAAAAATCCACAGCCCTGAGTGGCATAATTAAGCCAACTTAAGTCCTTGTGTAGAATTCTTCCATCGACCTAGCTACTGCCTCTCAAGAAGGTGGATTACCTACGCTGATAGGCGAACCCCTCCCGTCTTCATACGTAGTGTCTACAGTGAAGCACTACCACGGCACAGCTGTTCTGTTGTAGCATTTTAAGCGTATACAAGCCCAGAGACTTTTAAAGTGCTATAGTTATACCAGTAAAGTCACACCCTAACTTAACTTCCCCATGTAGACAAGCCCTTACACTCAATTCACATTTTAGAGGTTTTCTCTGCAACCATAACAGATGGAGACTTACTGTTTTACAATGAAAGCTGATATTCTGCAGTGTAACACAGCTGCTTCAGAGAGATGATGATGTGGCATATGGGTGTATATTGGCTTTTTCTAAGGGTTGCTCATGTCATATTCCTGACTGTCTCGGCTGTAGGAGTTTGGGCCCAGTTGTAAGCTGGCTAATAAGGATAGTGTTATTAATGAGTGTAACTGGAGGTGAGTTCTGCCTCATGAACCTAATATACTAGGCAGGAGAACACTAGTTAAACATATGGGACACATTCTGAAAACCCATGTATTTACTCTGGCAAAACTCAATAAAATCCATGGGAGGTTTTTGTGAGTAAGGATTTAGCCCATATAGAATCCAGAGAACACTCCTCACCAGGTTATAACATTTTCTCCTACTTGCCACCCCTCACCCCCATGGACATATTTATTTACCCTCCTGTTTACACGCAGCCATCCTCTGAAACCTGTATTTCATCAATTTTCCTTTGGTTAAAGAGGGTCTAGAAGACTAGACAGCCTTTTCAACACCATTCCCACTTTGATTAGTTAATATTTTTACAGTTCTATGTATTCATGTATATGTCCCGTACTTTATAAGTGCTAAGTAATCATCTTACTGACCAAAGGGATTCCTGCAGAGTGGCATAAAAAGCTCTCCCACATCCCAGGATCTGTCTTCATGGCTTCTGTAGCACTTTAGCCTTTACCACACCCAGGAAGCAAGATATTGAACTTGGGAATCAAATGCTGCTGTCTTATGAAGTCTAAGTTGGATGATATTTGCTGTCCCATTAAAATCCATATTGTACCATAATACCTTACCAGCAATCTGAGAAACAAGTGCTCATCCCTACCTGTGAACTGCAGTGTACCACCCAGCCGCTAGGATGAGGTTGATGACGACATCTACTGGAATCAGATCTGCTACTGCATCATTATTGACTTTGAGAGTTTGCAGAATCCCTTTACCAGCCTGTGTGACAGAGGGAAAGAGTCAGTGACAATATGCCATGACAAGATTTCCTTGGCCTAGAGAGGATGCAGCATCACTTAGTCACTTTTCAAGCCCACTGTGGAACACAGAAGATCAGTCTGCCTCTATGGAGAGCCAGCGCTCATAGACTCATAGACTTTAAGGTCAGAAGGGACCACTATGATCGTCTAGTCTGACCTCCTGCACCACGCAGGCCACAGAATCTCACCCACCCACTCCTGTAATAAACCCCTAACCTATGTCTGAGCTACTGAGTTCCTCAAATCATGGTTTAAAGACTTCAAAGTGCAGAGAATTCTCCAGCAAGTGACCCGTGCCCCACGCAGCAGAGGAAGGCGAAAAACCCCCAGGGCCTCTGCCAATCTGCCCTGGAGGAAAATTCCTTCCCAACCCCAAATATGGCCATCAGCTAAACCCTGAGCATGTGAGCAAGACTCACCAGCCAGACACCCAGGAAAGAATTCTCTGTAGTAACTCAGATCCCACCCTATCCCATCACAGGCCAGTGGGCATATTTACCGCTAATAGTCAAAGATCAATTAATTGCCAAAATTAGGCTATCCCATCATACCATCCCCTCCATAAACTTATCAAGCTTAGTCTTGAAGCCAGATATGTCTTTTGCCCCCACAGCTCCCCTTGGAAGGCTGTTCCAGAACTTCACTCCTCTGACGGTTAGTGCTTTATATTCTCGTGTGGATCAAACTGTTTAGTGTTGTCAGAGGAAGTTGGAAATGTGATGAGCAAATGTCAGTAGAAGTGTATAAAAAGGCAGTGGCCTTGTTTAACTCATGATGATAAAAGGACATCCAGCAAGAAAGACATTTTTATGTTTTGTGGTAAAATTTTCAAAAGCACTTAAATGATTTAGGAACCTAAATTCCATTTTCAAAAATCACATGGGAGCTTAAGTCCTATTGATTTTCAATGAGACTTAGGCTCCCAAGTGCCTAAGTGTAACATTTTTGAACATGCTCAAATGACTTAGGCACCTAACTTCCATTCTCAAAAGTCACATAGGCACTTAGGAGCCTATGTCTCTTGAAAGTCAATAAGTACTTTAGAAATGGCTCTTAAGTGCTTTTGAAAATCTTACCCTGATCTTTTGGATTTAGCTATACATCCATTCTGAAGTTTACCTTCCATGTTATAATTTGTTCCTAAAGTACCATCAGCGTGCGTAGTCCTTTCCCTCAGAGCTTACAGTTATAGGGTATGTCTACACTGCAACAACGGAGTGTAATGCAGCTCAAGGTTACATACGTCAGCTCTGTTTAATCTGACTAGCTTGTGTCCTGAAACAGTGAAAGCACAGCAGTGTGAGCTTCAGCACTGGCTACCCAGGGTTCTAGGTGGCTTTGTACAGCCTGCACTGAAGGTCGCACTGCTGTGGCTTCACTGTTCTGGAACGTGAGCTAGCTAGATTAAAGCTAGCTCAGGTGTGTCTACTCAAGGTGCAGTCACACCCTGTGATTGCGGTCTAGACACACTCCAAGTTAAGATGTAACTTTGTTGAGTGCCAATTACAAATGTTATGAAGAAGGAAGGAGTAAGTCAGAGCTTCCTCTGGGTTTGATGTAGTTGGTAATGCACTTCTCAGGGGTTCCATAATGATTTGTTTTTAACTGAGTGTTTGTGATGATGTTTCTGTGCAAGGGAGATTAGGGTTTGGAGGCTTCATGGAAAAAGTCTTTTAAAGAGAGACTTGAAGGTGCAAGAGTAGCAGCAGGGCAGACTGGATCAGCCAGGATGTTTCAGAGAGGGGGTACGAGACATGGAGGTGAAAGCGGGGGAAGGAAACTGAGGGAGTGTGTTGGGCATGAGGCCTAAGTGCAAACAGCTGAGTGAAAAGTTATGAGGAAAAAGAGAGAAAGGCAGGAGCTAAGCAGTGTAATGTCTGGACTACAAGGATAAGGGACCTGAATTTGATGTAGAAGGCAACAGAAAAATCAGTGAAGGGATCTGGAGAGCAAAGGATGCAGTAACATCAGCAGGAAAGAAAGTGTTTCTGCACCCGCATTTTGGGCAGCTGTAAGAGACTAGGGAGGAGAAGATCAGTGTTACGAGAGAAGATTTGGAGCCAATGTAATCAGTGATCTTCAAGACAGATTGAAGAGAGATCATTCAAGATAGTTATGTCCAAACTCCAGAGCTAACTGCGAAGAGTTAGAGAGGGATCTCACAAAACCGGGGTGACTGGGACACAAAGTGGCAGATGAAATTCAACACTGATAAATGCGAAGTAATTCACACTGGAAAAAATAATCCCAACTACACATATATAATGATGGGTTTTAAATTAGCAGCTCAAGAAAGATCTTGGAATCACCTGAAAACTTCATCTTAATGTGCAGCAGTGGTCAAAAAGGCTAACAGAATACTAGGAAAGGGATAGCAAGTAAGACAGAAAATATCATAATGCATTATATAAATCCAAGGTGCATCCACACCTTGAATACTGTGTCCAGTTCTGGTCACCCCATCTCAAAAAGGATATGGTGGAACTGGAACAGGTTCAGAGAAGGACAACAAAGATGATCAAGGGTATGGAATGGCTTGTGTATGAGCAGAGACTAAAAAGATTAGGGTTGTTCAGCTTAGAAAAAAAGACTCAGAACAGGGATATGATAGAAGTCTTTAAAATCATGAATGGTGTGGGAAAAGTGAATAGAGGTGTGTTATTTACCCTTTCCCACAATACAGAAACCAGGAGACACTCCATGAAATTAATAGGCAGAAGGTTTAATACAAACAAGAGGAAGTACTGTTTCACATAATTTAGTTAACCTGTGGAATTCATTGCCATGGGATGTTGTGAGGGCCAAAAGTATAACTGAGTTTGAAAAAGAAGTAGGTAAGTTCATTGAGGATAGGTCCATCAATGGATATTAGCCAAGATGGTCAGGCATGCAACTCCATGCTCAGGGCCACCGTAAACCTTTGACTGCCAGAAGCCAGGAGGGGAAGACAGGGCTGGATCATTCCAGCTGCCCTGTTTTGTATATTCCCCCGCAAGCTCTGATACTGGCCACTTTCAGAGACTGGATACTGGGATAGATGGACTCAGTATGACCGTTCTTATCTTCCCCTGTCACTCCTGAGCTGTCCATGCCTATCAGGGCCTTTGTGTGGCTGTTGTAGTGTCCGTGTGTGGTGAATGGCACACACTGCCATGATCCAAAGGGGAGAGTAGAGTGCTGGTTAACGGTGAGCTGCGGGGGGAAAAGGGAGCGATGAGCAAAAGGACAAGCCTTGGTGGAAGCTGCCAAAATCCTTTCCCCAACCTTTCCTTCCCTCTAAGGCAGGAGTGGAGCTTGCACATAGGGTGACCAGACAGCAAATGTGAAAAATCGGGACAGGGGATGGGGGGGTAATAGGAGCCTATATAAGAAAAAGACTCAAAAATCGGGACTGTCCCTATAAAATCGGGACATCTGGTCACCCTACTTGCACAGGAAGCGGGGGAGAGCCAGAGATACTCAGCAGCCACAAGGTGGGGAGAAAGAGGAAGAGGATTTTGCAAGTTCACCTATTTATAAGCAATGTTCCAATGTGCTCATCACATCAAACTACTGTGATACAATTCTTTTTTGTCAGTCTGTACCTCCCTCAGATAATGAAGTACCTCGCTAGCTGTGAAAGGTTGAGGACCACTGCTACAAACAAACAGAGCATATCCAGCCCTGCATAACCACGTGTCTGAAATCTGGGCTGAAAAGCCTTGCTAGAATGATTGTTTTTAAAGTTTGTTCTTAGCCCATAAACAATGCACATGTTTTATGTCATTCTGATGCTTATTAAAGATATTAGAGTCACAAAAAAGTTGCAGATAAGTTATAATCATGTAAGCTTCCCCACCCAGCTCTGACAATTTACCTCAACCATATCCTGCAGCAACCTTCTGTTGTTCTAGTCTTGGGCCACAAAACAATTCTGCCAAAACACTTCAGTTTTAACTTACAACATCACCTTCTGCTAGCCCATTCCTAAGCTACACACCACTGGCAGCAGCATGTAGAGCTGTGTCCACACTCTGGTATGTAGTTACACGTGTCAGTGAAAGGTTCTGGCCGAGGGAAGGCGGGGGAAAGGCTTCAGCTGCTCCCTGCTGCCAGAGCCTTTCACTGCAGCAAGGAAAGGCTCAGCCTTTCTCCATTGCCTCCCCCCACCTGCCAGAACCACCCCCCTTCCTGTTGCGGGAGTCTTTCACTGCAGCAGGGAAAGGCTCCAGCAATGGGGAGGCAGCGGGACACTACACTGGCAAAAATAGCGGTGTAGACAGGGAGGCACTACTTGGGCGAGTAGAGAGCTGTGTAGGGTGTGTACTCAAGTACTTACCCACAGCTGTCAGCCATGCCTCCACTTTACTCACCTAAGCCCTGCCTCACCAGCTACACTGTTACTGATACCCGGGCTGGGGAGCTATGCAGTATGTACACTGCATGCCACCCAAACAAGCATGCTGTGTAGATGCAACCTTAGTGCTCTCTTCAGAAGAAACAGCCAATCATGTTGAATTCTGAATTTTGTGATGTAAACAAATGGTGACCACATACAGGTGGACAAACTCACATTCAATTGTGCCCCAAATTGCTACTTGAACCCACTAGAAGAGAGAGGCTGATGCATGCTTATTTACTAGGGTTACCATATCTAAGAAATAAAAAAA